GGCAGCTGTCGCTTATCGGGTGCTACTGATGCTGCTGCTCTACTACTGCTGCGGCTGCTGCGGTTCTTCTGGTGCTGCCGCCGTGGCTGCTGCTGCCGCGGTTTTGCCAATACACCGTTGCTGCTGCTATAATGCTATTACTACTGCTACTATTGCTGCTGCTGCTGCTGCCGCTGCTTCGTTTGCAAGGCATCAGTTTAACTGCTTCGCTATTTGCTGCTTCTGTGTTATGTTGGCTGTTGTATTGATTCACCACATCCTCGACCGCCTACTGACCACAGTGGGACTGCTGCCTACACGGACAAGGTTTTGGCTATTTGCCGCATGGCCTCTTTTACTGCTACTGCTGCTCCTGCTGCTGCGGCTGCTGCTTTGTTTGCAGTCCTATTGGATTAGCTGTTGCTTCTGTATTCTGTTGACTTTTTGTACTGATTCACAGCATCGTAGACCGCCTACGAAGTACAGTGGCACCGCTGCCTACATGAACACGGCTTTCGCTTTTTGTTGCATGCCTTCTTCTACTGCTACTGCTGCTGCTGCTTTGTTTGCAATACTTTCGATCCAGCGGTTGTTTCTGTCCTATGGTGGCTGTTGTACTGGTTTACAGCATCCTAGACCGCCTACTAAGTACATTGGGGGTGCTGCCTACACGGACAAGGCCTTCTCTATCTGCCGCATGCTTTCTTCTGCTGCTACTGGTGCTCCTGCTGCTGGTGTGTGTGTTGTATGGTGGCTGTTGTATTGATTTACAGCATCCTACACCGCGTACTACGTACAGCGGGACTGCTGCCTACACGAACAAGGCCTTCGCTAGCTGCTGCATGCTTTCTGGTACTGCTACGGCTGCTGCTGCTGTTGCTTCGTTTGCAATATCATCAATCTAGCTGCTTCTCTACTCGCCGCTGTTGTATTATGTTGGCTTCAATATTGATTTACAGCATCGTCGACTGCCTACTGACTACAGCGGGTCTGCTGCCTACACGAACAAAGCCTTCCCCCTCTGCTGCGTGCTTTCTTCTGCTGCTGCTACTGCTGCTGCTGCTGCTGCTGCTTCGTTTGCAATATCATCAATCTGGCTGCTTCTCTATTCGCTGCTTCTGTACCATGTTGGCTGTTGTATTGGTCTACAGCATCCTCGATCGCCTACTGACTACAGTGGCACTGCTGCCTACATGGACAAGACCTTCGCTATCCGCTGCGTGCCTCTTTGGAATTATACTTGTTACCATGTGGCCTATCTTTATATACCCGGCGTGCTTCTTCTTACTGGTACGTCTTATACTACTACTACTACCGCTGCTACCACCACCACTACTACTACTACTATTACTACAAATACTGCTACTGCTACTACTAGCACTATTACAGCGACTACTCAAAACTACTGCTGCTACTACCACTACTACTAGTACTACTACTTCAGATATTAGTGCCTACTAGTACTACCAAAACAAATTCTACTACCAGCAGCTGCAGCAGATGTTCCGGAAGCACGACAAGCGGCAACGTTGCAGCTGTAGCAGCAATAGGAGCAGACGCAGAAGCAGCGGAAGCACTAGAGGCAGAACAGAATCAACAGCAGCAGAAGTAACAGCAGCAGCGCGCTCAGCAACGCGAGTAGCCATAGCACAGGGGACAGCGTCAGAAAGACTGGAAGTATCACCAACGGCAGCAGCAACAAGCGCAACAACAGCCACAGCAGCTGCAGGAGAATCAACAGCAACAGAAAGGGCGAATGTATAGAAGCCGCAGCAACGTTAGCAGCAACCGCGGCGTGAGCAGCAGTGCCAGCAGCGCGTAACATGTTACGATAGCGAGAGCAGCAGCAGCAGCAACAGCTCCACGGGAAGCGCAGGGTTGGTACGCTCGCAGGGTAGAAAAAAGAAGGCATACTGGTCTTATCAGAATGTCTGTATTCTGCTCCATATATGTACCTACATCTCTGTCCATATATATATATATATATATATATGTATATATATATATATATATGTATATATATATATATATATACATATATATACGTAGTACTGTCTGCAGCTTGTCTTCTGTTACACGCCTATGTATGTGTATGCCTCTCTGCTCAAGTAGCTGTACTTGCGTGGGCATCACATATACGTAGGCTTCTATGCATAGATATTGTGTATCAGTTTGTACAGACGTCCGTATATTATGTCACACATATATGTATCTATATGTAGTACTGCCTGTATTCTTGTACGCCGCATGTCGTCTCTTCCTCGCATTCAAATATGCCTGTGCCTCTTTGCACCAGTAGTCTGCAGACATGCGGTCTACGCATACATTTGTAGGTGTATATACATATATATATATATATATATATATATATATATATATATATATATGTATAGGCGGACGGCATATGGGTGAGAATGTGCACCGACCTACAAGTGTATCTGCATACGTGTACATGCGGAGTATGCATGCCAGGAAGAACATACATTATCATTAGCCCTCTGCATAGATATATATATGGGGTATATGTACCTATATATATATATATATATTATATATATATCTATGCATGCAAATAGTGTATTTGTACTGGAAGGGATTTGCAGACCGAAGTTCTCTCGATACTGCTGCTGCTGCTGCGTGTAGAGTCTCTCGTTAGCTTTACAGCTGCTGTTGTAGAGTCCGCGGACGTTAGTTTCCCTTGTACCGCTGCTACAGCTGATACGTGTGACATTTCTGGTGCCGTCTATAAATATACATATATATATATATATATGTATATATATATATATGCATATGTAACATACATACATATGTGTGTACCTGTATATATATATAATATATTATATATATATATATATATCCGAATGTCTCTGGTTCGTGTAGGGCCAGTGGCTGCTGCTGTTGTAGGACAGCTGGGGTCAATTTCTGTAGTCCCGTGCACAGCGGATACGTATGTGAGACTAGTGCTGCTGTGCATATATGTTTGTATATGGATAAATGTACGCCGCTCCTTATAGTGTATGAGGCGTGCTGCTGCGGCTAGCTGGGCGAAATGCAGACGTGAATACTCCCGTCGTACTACTGCTGGCTGGTTCCTATATGAAATTACTGATGCCGCGTATACAGATTCAATTGAATCTCTCTCTCTCTCTCTCTCTCTCTCTCTCTATATATTATATATATAATATATATATATATATATATATATACGCGTCTATATCCAAATATATATATGTATATATATATATATACATATGTATAATATATACATACATATATATACATATACAAGTGCCGTTGTTCGTAAGGGCAATTGCTGCTGCTGGCGTTGCTGTCACAGATCTCTATCGCGTACAGTGCTGCGGAGGATTCCCTGGTGTGTCTGTGCTGCGATTCTTGGGGTGTTTTTACAGGGCCTAATGCTGCTTCTGCTATCACAGATTTCTCTCACGGCGACATCCGCAGCAACAGTAGGAGCAGCATCAGTCCTCGTAGATACAAAACGAATGCCGCCCCCTGCTGCTTTAGTCCCTGGCTCTAATATTGCGGGACAGCCAGCCAAAGAAGCAGCCCCAGCAGCAGCAGCAGCCGAAATAGCAGCAGCAGCGAAGGAAGAAGGAAGGGGACCGCGGACTCTCTCGCAGGTGAGGGAAAGGACGTTTGTTGGACAGCGTGTGCAGTCGTCTATCACCTGATTATTATTCGCCAAGATACAGAGATACGTGTATCTCACGTATATGTGCCTATATGTCTCTATGCATGTAACCCGTACATCATACGTATGGATACGTTTGGCCATAGAGTATCTGCGCAACGCTCCTGACGCATGCTTATACCCGTATATTTATACTCACATGGTATATACATAGACGTATGCGTATGTATTACAGACAGACCGGTAGGTGGGGGGGGTGTGTGTCTGACATAGAGAGAGCACGTATGAAATCACCTTCTCACGCACAACATATCTCCCTGCCAACTTAGTTTTATGTAAGCGTAAAGCGTCGCGCGTTTACTTTTATATATATATATATATATAAATGTATATATGTATACATTCCCACGTTATACAGCTATCCCCGTTCTTACGTGCGTAGTATGTGCGTGCAGCGAGAAAAGGTGTGCTCCGTGCTGCTTGCTGTTTCTTGAGAAGGCACCTACATCGGTGGCTGGATGTACGCCTCTGTAGGTTGGGCACCTGTGCACAAGTCATATATACGTATATGTAAACTTATATGTCTGTATATATATATATTATGTATATATATATATGTATATATATATATTCGAATACACCCATGTGCGGGTGTGCACACTCCCGTGTGGCTGCATACAGCGTAGGCCGTCTGTTGGGCTGCAATTCTCGACACTAGCTGTCTGCTCACGCTGTAGAGAGAGGCCGAGGAACTGCTGCTGCTGCTGTCGCTGCTACAGCTGTTACTGCTGCTGCTGCTGCTGTTGCTGCTACAGCTGCTACTGCTGCTGCTGCTGTTGCTGCTACAGCGGCTACTGCTGCTGCTACCGCCGCTGTTACGCCTGCTGCCGTTGCTGTTACGTCTGCTGTTGCTACTGCTGCTGCGATTGTTCGTGCTGCTGCTGCTGCTGCTACCGCCGGTGCTACTGACGGGTACCTGTTTTTCCTGTCACTGCTCAGACAGCTCGTGCTGATGCTGCCTTCAGTCCCGCTAGCTGCTGCTCCTCTCCTTTTTTCTTGCTGCTGTCGGTCGCGCGGCTGCTGCTCGTGTTAGGCCGCTGCTGCCGATGTGGCAGCGGTGAGGGGATCTACTGCGGTGCTGCTGCTGGCTGCGGCAGTCTGCTGCTGCAGGGACCGCGGCTGCTGCTGCTGCAGGGACTGCGGCCTTGCTGCTGCTGCAGGGACCGCGGCTGCTGCTGCTGCAGGGACTGCGGCTGCTGCTGCTGCAGGGACCGCGGCTGCTGCTACTGCCGGTGTTGAGTCTGCTACCTTCGACTTCTTGCTGCGTGTAGCTCGGTCCCGCGTCTACGTTCTTAGGGGCTGCTGCTTCTGTGTTTGCTGCCGCTGCTCATCGCTTGCTGCTGCTCCATTTAGTCTGCTGCTGCCTTGTGCGTTCTGCTGCTGGTTTTTCTGTGCTGCCGCTTCTCGTCTCTTGCTGCTGCTGCTGCTGTCGGTTGCTGCTGCTGCTGCGCGGGTTTGTGCTGCCGTTTATGGCTTTGTGGCTACTTCTGATCTTCAGTTGCTTCTGTAAGGCTGCCCCCTGTGTGTCGATGTTGATGACGTTTTGCCGCTTCTTCTACTTTCTTGCAGCTGAGGGTTTGCTGCTGATGGTTTGCTGCTGGTGCTCGAATTTAGCTGCTGCTAATACTCAGCTGCCGCTTATTTATTGCTGCTGCATTTCTTACTCTGTTGCTGCTGATGCTCTGGTGCTGCTGATGCTCTGGTGCTGCTGGTGTTTTGCTGTTGCTGATGTTCTGCTGCTGGTGATGTTCTGCTGCTGATGGAGTCTCGCTGTTGCAATCTTCTCTTTTGCTGATGCATTTTCTCTTTTGCTGTTTCGTATGTTTTGGTGCTGCTGCTGCTGCTGGTATCTAGCTTCTGCTGCTGCTGCTGCTCATATTTAGCTGCTGCATTTCTTATTTGATTGCTTCGAATATACGGTTGCTGCTGACTTGTCGTTGCTACTGCTGATGTCGTGCTGCTGATGGTCTCTTGCAGGTGCATTTTCTGTTCTGCTGCTGCTGATGTTGTGCTGCTGTATGTTGTCTGCTGCTGCAGCTCCCCAGTCACAACCGCCGCCTTCTTTAGAAGCGTTTGAGGCGCAGCAGAGGGATGATGACGCGCGGCTGGAAGACTCGCTAGTGAAAGGATCTGCTCAGCTCGGCAATACCGAAAACATTTACCCGTCGGCTACAAGTCTTTCATGTATGTATAAACAATAAATATGTACACGTACGCATGTATATATACGTATATATACATAGGTATATATATATATATATATATATATATATAACGGATGTCATCACGCCCTCTCTCGCCGTATTTCTCTATGTACACATACGTATACATAGATATATATATATATATATATATATATATATATATATATATATGCATATGTATATCTATGCATGCCGTTCGGCAGCGCGCTCCCAGTAGTGCACGCCTGGAGGAATATTATCGGAGAGCCTTCTAAAGCCTGCCCTCTCCAGATCTGTTTCACGTAGTCTACGTGTCTTTCGTGTGTGTATAGACATTTCACATACGTCTCCATATGTGTATATATATATATATATGTATATCCATGTGTACTAATATAAATATATATATATATATATATATGTATATATATATATATATATATATCTTTGTCCGTTCTGCCTCTTTCTCTCGGCGTCCCTCTATGTATACGTACATCAATATATATATATATATATAATATATTATATATATGTATACATACACGATGTTCGGCAGCGGTCCGGTGGTACACGCCGGCTATCAGAGAGAGGTCTAAACTCTGCAGTCCGCCGATCTGTTACCCGTGTACGTGTACGTGTTCCACATCTGTATGTAGAAGCCATATATCTGAAGGTTTTGTATACGTACATGCCTTACATGTAGCTTTCGTTTTTCCTCTTTCCCTTTCTCTCTGCGTCCCTCTATCTTTGTCTAGACATATATAAACACATATATATCCATAAATATATATGTACTTTAGAGATATATGTATATATATATATATATGTTATATATATTATAGTGTACATATATCTCTTGTAGGGATAGAGCTGTATATGTATAGCCACATGCTTAGGTATGCGTTATATTGATGGTGTGAGGTGTGGTCATGTGTTCACTCATACTGTAGAAAATCGCTTACTTTGTGTCCCTCTGTATATGGCATAGTACTGTTCAAACCAACGTATGCATATGCGTTTATAGACAGGTGTATTTCTATACTTGTACATATGCATATATATATATATATATATATATATATATATATTTCGCCGTACCCATATGTATACCTGTGCACCTGCAGGCAGGTGGTGGCTCCTCGATGTCATGTCCTTTCTGCGCGTGCATAAAACATGTAAGTAACGTATACATATATATAGATTAGATATAGATAGGTAGATAGATAAAAGATAGATATGTACTTTCCATTTAGGCTTGTACTAAATATGGTCCCGTTGTATATATGTATGTATGTATATATATATGTATATATATATATATATATATATATAGTATATGTATATATATATATATATATATATATATATATATATACGTATATATATAACTATATATGTATATACTTACCCTGAATAGTATTTTCACACTCAGGTGAAGATATGCGTAATAAAGAACGTCGCAGTTGCCGCTTGCTCCCGTACGTTAACGCTCTCTTTCCTTTAATTCTCTCTTTCTTTTCTCTTGGCTGGAAACATCATTTGCTAGGGTCTGCTCTCTGTCTTTCCGTATATTGAGATAGGGATAGGGCTACAAACACATATTTATATATATATATATATATATATGTTGTATATGAATAGGTTCGTGCGTATGTCTGCTCTCATAGTCTCTATCTGTCTCTTTACTTCTGTCCGTGTGTATGTCTGTGTTTGCCTCAGCGTCTGTGGTGCTCACTCTCTTGCCTCATTCCTGCTCTGTACCCGTTATGCTCGTGCTTCCTGTCTCTGCTTCCTGTCTCTTCTTTGTCTCTCCTGTCTCCGTCTCGTGCGTGGTGTCTCTGCCTTCTTCTTCTTTTTTTTTCTTCCGTTTCTCGCTTCCACTTTTTTGTCTCCGGCAGTCTGTGCTGCTATCTCTCTCATCCGGCTTTCGCTTTTTTAGGCTAAGGCGCTGCTGTTCCTGTTACCGCTGCTTCTTCTTGCTGCCGCCGCTGCTATCGCTGCTGCTATTGCAGCTCTTCTTCTTCGCCTTCTTCCTATTTTTCTTCTTCCTGCTGCTGCTGCTGCTACCAGTGCCGCTTCCACTGTCATTGTTTCTGCTCCTGTCGCTGCTGCTGGGTGGCTGCCCCTGCTGCTGCTGCTGCTGCGGCGCTTCCTACTGCAGCTCTTCCTGCTGCGGCACCTATGCAGGTTTTGTTTCGTTGCGGATCGTCTCTCGCTGCCGCTCTTCTTTCTGCTGCTGTTGCTGCTGCTTCTGCTGTTGCTGCTGCTTCTGCTGCTGCTGCTGCTTCTGCTGCTGGTGCTTCTGCTGCTGCTGCTGCTGCTCTCGTTGCTGCTGCCGTCTTTGGTGCTGCCGTCTTTGGTGCTGCATTTGCTGCTACCGTTGTTATTGCTACTCTTGCGGATGGGCCGCTGTTGCTGCTGCTGCTGCTGCTTCTGGTGCGCTTCCTCCTCCTCCTCCTGTTGTCGCTGCTACTGCTGCTACGGCTACTGCTGCTACGGCTGCTGCTGTTGGTACTGCTGCTGCTGCTCGTGCTGTTGGTGCCGCTCTTGTTCGACCAGCTGTTCTCCTTCTTCTACCGTTGCTACTCCTGCTACTTGTGCTGCTGTTCGTGCGGCTTGTCTTTTGTTGTAGACCATGGTACTAACAGCGATCGCGATGATCGTTGGCTTCTGTTGCTTCCTCCGCCTCCTTTAGTCGTTGCTACTCCTGCTATGTATGCTGCTTCGCTTGCAGATATATATAATATATATATATCTATATATATATTTGTACATGTTTTTCTTCTTTTTCTTCTTCTTCTTTTTTGTTGTAGGGCATGGTACTATCAGCAATGTCGATGGTCGTTCGCATGCATCACAGGCTACGTATGAAAAGAGAGATGGTAAGGAGAACTGAACAAATTTCTAGACCCGGCCTTTTTCATTCAAATATGAATAAATGCAGATTGAGAGGGACACAAATGTATATATATGTGTATATATTTTTATGCACATGTGCATGCGTAAATACACGTGAAAAACACACATAGATATATACGCGTATACGTGTGTACATAAATGTATATATTTTGTAGGCCGTGGTACTAACAGCAATCTCGGTAGTCGTTCGCGTGCATCACAGGCTACATATGAAAAGGGAGATGGTGAGTAGACCTGAAGAAGTCGCTTGACCGGGCTGTCTCTATCCAAACATAATTAAACCGCGATAAGGAGGGGCGTAAATCTATACATATATATGTATAGATACGCGCACAAGCGTATACACATACATACGCACATACGTATGTATGTATATTTTACGTGTATGTATGCATGTATACGTGCATATATATATAGTATCGATGTATTTTGTTTTATACAGTAGTATAGACAAAAGAGGCAAGGCACCATCAGTAAGAAACATAGGTACAAGTAGTGGAAGAAAGAGGACAGACGGACATAAAACGAGAGACATAGTATATGGAGGGTGCCTCCTAGTGGTGACGTAGCTGAGCCCTTATCATTGCTGCTGCTCCCGTCCTCTGCCTATTCAGCTGCAGCATCGTTCTCATAAACGGGTGCTGCTGCTTCTACTGTCCTTCCAAGGGTGCTGTCGCAGCACGCGTTTAGCTTGAATGTGCTGCTGCTCGCCCCCTCCTACCTCTATAATGCATACATATCTATATATGTATATATATAGATACATATGTATTTCTGCATATATATATATATATATATATATATGTATATATGCATATTTTTCTTGTAGGAGCTGCAGTACACCATACACATATTGCGTAAGGGGCTGCACACTGCCGCAGCAGCTGCTGTATCTCCTGCGATGTTGCTGCTGCAGTCTACCTGGGATGCTGCTGCAGCCGTCCTGCCGGGCTACTGCAGTCAACCTGCGAGGCTGCTGATGCTGGTCCTGCTGCAGCTGTTTCTCAGTGATGTGCTGCTGCCTGGGCGGCCCGTCTCCTCCTACGTTGCAGCTGGAGCTGCTGCTTCTCGTGTGCTGTGCTGCTGCTCTTGTAGGTTGTAGGCACGTCGTGGCTGCTGGGCATCCTTTCTTTCTATTACCCGCATACAGTCAGCGCCCTTTTTCGCTACTTGCTAGGAGGAGGCAGGTGAGAAAATCATTCTGCTGCTGCTTGCTTGCTCCTGCTCCGCTGCATAGTAGGATGCGTAGGTATGCCAGCATACTGCTGCCGCTGCCGCTGCTGCTGCTGCTCTGTCGTCGCTGCATGTTGGGAAGTGCTCATGTTACCACTTCGGTGCTGCTGCTGCTGCTGGTAGTGCTGCTGCTGCTGTTTCGCCACATGTCAGGAGGAGCACGTATGCGAATTTGGCGCTGCTTCTGCTGCTGCGTTGCTACCTACTAGAAGGCGTGCATACGCCGACATGCTGCTGGCAGCTGCTCTTCCTTGCGCACGGAGAGGGCGTGGTGATGTCGCGTTGTGCGTGCTGCTGCTGCTGCTGCTGCCTTTTCTTCGCCGCATAGCACAAGGAGCATCAGTGCCCGCTAGCTGCTGCTGCTCTTACTGCGGCCTTGAAGCTGCTTGTCTATTACTATATGTTCGCGTGTGTGGTTCTATATGCTTTATAGTTTCTTGCTGCAGCTGCCGCTGCTGCAGGTTATCTTATTGCTGCTGTCGCTTTCTTCCCGCGCCGCTTGCTGCTCGTGCTGCCACCTTCGTGCTCCGGCTCTCCAGAAACAACTTGTGCAGATGCTGCTGCTGCCGCTGTTGACGTTTGGTGGTGAACATGCTAGCTACCCTGTACAGAGCATGATCTAGAGTGTGCGTGAATATGGCGGGAATACAATGGTGGCTGTATAAACTACGCACATATTACTGGCATACGAGCATGTATATATATATATATATATATATAGAGAGAGAGAGAGAGAGAGAGAGAGTGAGAGAGAGAGAGATAGGGAGAGACATATAAATATAATATAAATATATATATATATATATATATATATATATATATATATTTATATATATGTATGCGGTTCCTGTGATTTCTGGCGCTGCCGCTAATCGAGTTGCCACTGTCGCCCTTGTTCTTCTGCTCTTCCTGCTGGTGCGCAAGCCGCTAAGATGGCCGCTGTCTAGCTGTTTTTCAGGTGCGGTTGCTGCTCGGTCTCCTGTTGGTGCCCTACGTTGTCGATGTTGCTGCTGCACTTCTTTTGCTACTCATCCTGTTGCTGTTGCTGCCGCTGCTGCTGCTGCTGCGTGTGGTGCTCGTATTGATTGCTGTTGCTATACCGCCCGTGTTGCCTTGTTATTGCTGCTGCTAGTGGGATAGCGAGTGCTGGGGCTCCGCCTCCTCACCGCCCTCTTGTATCTCTTCCTCTTGTTGCCATTTCTGGTGCTCCAATTGCTATTGTTGGTGCCCTTGTTGGTGCTGTCGCTGCTGCTTCTGCTGCTGCTGCTGCTGCTATTCCTGCTGCTTGTGGTCCTGCTGCTATCGCTGCTGCCTTCTGGTGCTTCTGCTGCTATTTCTTCTTCTGCTGCTGCTGCTGCTGTTGCGGCGGCTCCGCCGTGTGCTGCTGCCATTGTTGCTGCTGCTTTTACTGCTATTTTTGCTGCTGATTCGTCTCAGGTGTCGTAGTGATGGTACGACAAATGCCCGTCGTAGGAACATGCGTGCGCTGCTTCGTCGCCTGCATCTCCTATATGCGTCTTACATACGAACGGGCGACAAAACAGAATCTGGTCGCCTCTCCAGCTCTCTTATAATACGTGAGTTCACCCATATATATATATATATATAATATATATATATATATATATACATATGCATATACATACACGTACATACTTACATACATGTGTATATGTAAGCAATGTAAGCATTTCAGACCTATAGTGATGGTACGGCAAATGCTTGCGGTGGAAGCGTTTATGCGTTGCTTCGTCGCATGACTCCCATATACTCGTCTGACATACGAAGGGGTGGCGAAGCAGCATCTCGTTGCCTCTCCTTCTATCTTGTAATACGTGAGTGCACCCCCTAAACAAACATCTACGTGTACGTATAAAATATACATATATATATATATATATATATATATATATATATATATTTGTATGCGCATTCAAGTGAACGTCTGACATATATAGTGATGGCAGGGCAGATACATGTGGTGAAAACACCCTAACCTCTTCGGCGTAAGCATCTTATATACTCGTCTCACATACGAACGGGTGACCAAGCAGTATCTCATCGCTTCCCCCTGCTATCTTGTAGTACGTGGGCTCACCCACAAATAGATCTGCGTCTGCATAACATACACATATATACATGTAACTGTGTATGTATATATATAGACATATCACATATATAGTGGCAATACGGCAGATGCTTGTGTTGCAAGCGTGTGTACCCTTCGCTGTCGCATGCGTCCCCTATATACATGCGAACGGGCGACCAAGTAGAATCTCGCTGCCTCTCCTGCTACTTCCCAATACGTGAGCTCACCCACTAATAAACATCTGTGTATACAATAAATGAACACATTTATGTATATATATATATGAATGAACCTATCACATATATAATAATGGTGAGGAAGATGCTTCTGGGTGAAACATTCCTGCCTTCGTTCGTTGCAAGCGTCTCATGAATAGGTCTCAGATACGAACGGGCGACGAAGCACCATCTCGTTGCGTCTCTTGCTCTCTTATAACGCTCGACTGCACCCATATACATATAATATATATATATATATATATTTGTATATGTATTCAATGTAAGCACATAGAATATGTTAGTGATGGGACGGCAAATGCTTGTAGTACGTTTTGTTTCGTCGTATGTGTTTCCCACATTCGTCTGATATATGGAACAGCGACTACACAGCTCGCTGTTGCTTGTCCTTTAGGTTTCTAATACCCACCTGTATATATTTCTCTCTAGACAGAAGTATATATGTATACATATAATATATATATGCATACATATGTACATATATATATATATATATATATATATATGTACACGGCTACCCCAGAGATGTATGTGGGCTTATTATGGTATATATACACATCCTTCTAAGGCCTCCTCTGCATATCGCGTGGGCTCACGAGAGCGTAGAACTAGCAGGGCCGACTCATTCCGCAGAGTAAGCATATACACTCGCGTGTGAGTACATAGATTTGTATATCTGCATACATATATATGGTATGTATGTATGTATATATACGAGGCCTCTATGAGGATGTGTGCACGCATATTTCGGTCTACGTACACATCGTTCTGGGGCAGTGTCTGCGGATTTCGGCGGCTCATGAGAATGTCGAAACGACAGGGCTGTACTGATCTTCCGGCTCATATCTAGGTTACACATGTACACACACGTATGCACGCGTATATATATATATATATATATATATATATATATATATATATATATATGTCATACAGGTATGTGTATAAACATACAACGCTTTCACGGGGAGGTTTGTACGCGTCTCTTTGTGTGTATACAAATCCGTCCAAGGTTTTATCCGCGGACTGTGGGAACGTAGAACGACAGATATGTACCGACGTTTCGACTCATTTCGAGGCGTACGCATACACACATACACATGAAAACGTACATACGCATGCGTATACATATATATATATATATATATATATATGTATATGTATATATCGTTTTATGCATACGCATTTATGTATATACGCACGTACATACGGTCGCATTAACATAGTACTGCAGACGCTGGTGCCTTATCTTTATATATAGGGATAAAGCGACTAGGGATGCATGCTTTGTATAGAGAGAGCGAAGACGAGGACACACGAAACAAAAGTGAGGAGCATCCACAGAACGAAGAGCCGCACAGGTAAAGCAAGCTTCTGAAAACGGAGCAGCAGCAGAAGAAGAAGAAACACAAAAGAAGACAAAGGCAAGAAGAATTTGGAGGAGGAGTAAAGAAGCGAAGAAGAGAGCTACGGGGGAAATAGGGAGAGCGAAAAAGGGGAAGACCATCGCAAAACGAAGCCAAAGGAGGAAGGAGACGATAACGACGACGACGAAGAAGAAGAAGAGGAAGAAGAAGACGTAGATGGAGAAGAGGAAGAAGATAGTCGAGAAGGACAACAACGACCCCCGCAACCAGTAGAAAAGCGGGATGAGAGAGAGAGGAGGAGAAGGCGAAGGAAATAGACGCTCATACAGGAACTGTGTAGGTCTCTTAGGATGTGACGCTGAAAGAGAAAATAACGTATGTGTAGAAGCTTCACGTTGCTACGAAAGTGGGGAATACAAAGGAGGAGCAAGAATGGAAGAGAAGAGGAGGAAGACAGGAAAATGAAGAAGAAGAACAAAGCGGAGGAGGAGGAGAGCAGAAGTAGGTCGATGAGGAGTATAAACAGTTACGGAAAAGTATATACGTATATATATACATATATATATATATATATATATATATATCTGGAACCCCTTTACTGCTACGATGGCGGAGACTACAGAGGTAGGCGCAGAGAATAAGAAAGAACAGAAAGAAGAAAAAGGAGGGGAAGATGAGGAGGAGTACGCAATTACGTCTTTTTTCTCGACCCTGTAAGATTAGGATGTGACGCTATGAGAAAGACAAAAGAATATATATATATATATATATATATATATATATATATATATATATATATACATATATATATATATATATATACACATATACATACACATATATACATACGTATATATACATATGTGTACATATATACATATATATGTAGATATGGAACGGCACTTTTGCAGTGGAGGGAGAGACTATCATAGCATGACGGAGAGAGAAAGGGAGAGAGCCAGAGCAAAAATGCTGCTGTGGCTGCATGCGCCCGTTTACGCGCTGCTGGGGGAAAAGCAGATATATTGGGTGGCTGCAGTAGTGGATCCGACTAATCTGCAAATATATGTCATGCATATATATATATATATATATATATATATATATGGATAGATAGATGTATAGACATACGTGTATTTGTACATGTATATACGTGTGCAGAAGTGCTAGGAAGATGTGGAGATGGTTTCGTGTGTACATATGCGGACACAGATACGCTGTGTCGCTGACGGCGTCATTTCTGGTACGTTCTCACGAATGAGTACGCATACATTTATATTTATGTGCGGATATGTAGATAAATCTACATGTGCCTGTATATGTAATACGTAAGAAGATCTGCCGTGGAGATGTAGGGAGGGTTTTGTGTGTACAAATGTGAATGATGATCCGCTGTGTCCCTAACCGCCTCATTTCTGGCGCGTCCATGGGAACTTGTGCATATATATATATATATATATATATATATATATATATATATACGTATACTTGTATGTACGCGTGTACGTGTATATAGAATTACATATATATATATATATATACATATATATATATATATATATATATACATGTATATACGTGCTTGCCCAGGCGGCGTATATGTGTGTGTATGTGTATATAAACTTATATATATATATATATATATATATATATGTGCTTATGCAGGCCGCGTTTTGTAGTGCAGGTTTTTCTAGTGTTATTGTGCTGCAGCAGCGGCGGCGTGCGTCCAAACATCCGCAGCTCGCCGTGCGGCTGTTACGAGGGCGGAGATGTATGAGACCCGAGGCCGCATATCTTCGGCGTTGCTGACGGGGTCGGTGCTGTTCTACCAGCGCTTCATACCATGGAAGCAGCCGGTATATCTGTGGCTGTGGTGCTGCCGATGAGTAGCGTAGGTTATATATGTGCGTGTGTATATACATGCGTCTGAATTTGTGTATATAATATATGTGTCGCAATATGTGCGTAAGACATTTACGCGTGTACGTGTATGCTGAGTGCAAAAATTGATGCACGCGCTTGTGTGGATCTATTTCGAGAAAAGAAGTCGAAGACGCTTCTTCTCCTTCCCGCCGCCTGTCGTCATGGAGAACAGCGGCTGCAGGCCCCTATATCAAACCTCTTCTGATACACGCGGGAGCTGGTGCTGCTGCGGCTGCTCTTGGGGCTGCAGGAGCTGCTGCTGCTGCTGCGGCGGCTGCGTTTTCTGCTGCAGAAGCTGCTGCTCCTCTTGCTGCTGCAAGAGCTGCTGTAGCTGGTTGTGCCGCTGCAGAAGCTGCTGCTGCTGCTGATGCGTTTGCTGCTGCCGGTGGTAGGGCCGCTTTTGCTGCTTTGTTCTTCCTTCGCAAGGGCAGCAGACATCATCATGAGATGATGACGTCTGCGTACGTGACGTTACGGCTGAACCAGCAACGTTCCACTCGCACATACACGACTACCCACTACTGACTGTGCAGCCAAGCAGCTACTGCAGCTGCAGCTGCTGCTTTCCCTGCTTTCCCTGCTTTCTTATCCTTCCTTAATGGTCATCGAGGGTGTCTGTATACGTGAACTAACGGCGAAGTGAACAACACCCCACGCATACATGCACGAGCGAAAATACTGGGGTCACGAGTACGCCGCCGACACATACACGGGTGTTCCTACTTAGCAATCTGCTGATAGCCGAATCAGCAGTATCTACCTGTCTACCTGTCGATCTGCCTGTCGAGCCATCTCCCTGTCTATCGGTCTATCTTTCCCACTGTCTATCTGCCTCTCTATCTGTCTATCGGTCTTTCTACCTGTCTATCGATCTTGCTATCTATCTATCTCTCCTTGTGCCTGTCGGTCGGTCTACCTGTCTACCCATGTATGTATTCGAGGTAATGTGTAGCGTCCCGCCTACTGACCGCGCTACATGACTTGTATATGTATACACAATTCTACGTATGCGGACGCATATGAAGGTACGAATGCTGCTTTCTCTACAAGAAATATGTGCAGCGTGCTGCTTACCGGTCTCAGTATGTTGCATTTATGTATGTACACAGCTCTACGCACACACTGCAACGTCTGTCGAGGCATATGAATACATGAAAGCGACTCATCGATCCGTAAATGTTTGTAGCGTCCTCCCTACTGGCCTCGATAGCTTGCACGTATTTGTGTACGCAGTTCTGCGTACACACGAATATTTGAAGGTGGCTCACTACATCTGTAAGCATGTGTAGCGTCCTCCCTGCTGCCCTCGCTACGTTGAAAATATGTGTGTACACTGCTCTACGTTCAAAGTTCTTCGTACACAGAGATATACAAGTATATGAAGGCGGCTCATTGCATTCCTACACGTGTGTAGCGTCCTCCATGCTGGCCTCGCTATGTTGCATGTATGTGTGTACACCGTTCTGCGTGTACCGTCCTACGTCCCTAGATGTATATGAAGACATGGAGACCGCCTCCCCGTTATAAGGTACGTGTAGTACGCGATTTACTGGCCACGGTACATTGCGTGTATGTGTGTACCCAACACTGCGCACACACAGGCATATAGATCCAAAGGTGGCTCACTGTGTTGGTAAAATTATGCAGCGTCCTCCCTACTGGTCTCAGCGCATTGCATGTATGTGTGTACACGGCTCTACCTATGCGGTCCTACGTACGCAGAGGCGTTCGAATATATGAACGCGGTTCGCTGTATTTGTCAACATTGTAGCGTCCTCCCTACTGGTCGCAGTACATCGCATGTATATGTGTACGCAGGTCTGCGCAAAGGGTTCTAATTACACAAAGGCATATAAAAATGTCGACGGTGCTTCCTCTATATGACAGATGTGTAGAGTGCCCTCTATTGGTCTCAGTAGATTGCGTATGTGGCTGCACACAGCTCTATGTACACAGAGACAAGAGAAACATCAAGCCTAGGCCACACTCGTTGAAGTCGTACGAATAGTAGTGCAATTATGTGTTTTCCCCATTTGTTTAGATGACTACTGAGACGGATGTTGTGACAGTATGCTTTCGTGCGCACATCTCTAGACATACGTGAATATACATGAATATACATATAGAGCGAAAGATACACTTATGTATATAAACGCGGTTGGATGAATTTACAGGTATGCACTGTTATACTACTACGTCTAAGTATGCCTGCACTTGACTGCAGGGCGGATGGGACAGTATTCGCGCAGGGAGGCAATTGTACTACTGCATGTGTGGCTCCTACCTTACGTATCATGCAATGTAATGCACAGAACGGCACGCGCCTCCAAAAGTGCATAAAGAGACACGAGGATATATATACATATATATATGTATAGAATACGTGCATGTATACATATACATACGTATATATGTATTTAGATGTAGGTAAATAGATCAACAGAGACGTACACTTATACAGGTGAGTATATACATGAACGGACGTAACAGCAGAATATATCTGACACAGCCCGCGAATGGAGGGAGACGTGCAACTTTACGTGTCATTTCTTGTCTAAGTCATAGATGTCGTGATACAGAAACGACGCTTGAGAAGTGAAAGAAGAGAGGGGAGGCTGGCCTCGCGTTCCGTCATCGCCGCAGGGGAAATGTGTATGCGTATGCGGCATTACCTACGCACGGAAGCACAAACACTGCCGCATGCGTTCCTTTTTCGTTACGTATCAAGTACTGCAGCACATGAATAAATGAAGAGAAGTGAGGCGGGGTTGTTACGCCGCGTCATGGGGTGTATCTGTGTAGCATTACTTACCCAGCCAAGCGCATGTACTACTGCGTGCTCCTGCTTTACTGGGTATCATTGACTGCAGTACAGCAGCTATGGTGAGGTTTGAATGAAGAAAAGGGAGGCGGGAGGATCCTGCCGTTTCGTAGCAGCATTGTAGGTGCCTGCGACGTCGGGCTCGGCACTTACTTTTCGTTTCCTTCCTCTCTTCCTACGAGGCTTCTGCCTGGGCATTACTTACAGGGGGAGGGCATACCTTTGTCTCATGTGCAGCCTTTGCATGCGTGATATGTATATATGTACCATTCAGCCAGATACAATTTTTTCTAGCGCCATTCGTTTTCCTTGTTGATAGGTGAGGGGTGTGCGTACCCAGCCTCTGCATGCGCGGCGTATATATATATATATATATATATATATACACCAGGCAGCCACAAATATATTCACCACCACCTTCCTCCACTATACAAACTCTCCTTATTGACAGACGACACTCCTGCCGCGTGCGCAGTCTCTTTACGCGTGATATAAATACGCCACGCAGCCACAAATGTATGTCTCAATACCTTTCTCCCTCTTTATTGATAGATGACGCCTCTGCCTCATGGGATGTCAGTCTTCCCCTGCAAAATATATATTTTATATGTACGTATATACACATGTATGCATATACCCCATGCGACCAAGCTGTATTTACTAATACCCTTCCTAGTTTTAAAAGCTCTACAAACTGGTAGGCGACATGTCTGCATCATGCGCAGCCTTTTCATCCGTAATATACCTACATTACGCAGCCGCAAGTCTACTTCCGTAATACCGTTCTGGGTCCTTATCGATAGGTGGCGCCTCTGTCGCATGGGCCTCAGCCTATATATATATATATATATATATATATATATATATATATATACACGCAATGCGGTAACGTTGTATTTATTAGTAGCTTTCTCAAACCTACGAGATCTACAAACTGATTGGTGAGGCTTCTGCCTCATGTGCAGCCTTTGCATGCGTCATGTATATACGTGGCCACACATACATATTATATACCTTTCTTTGCTGTGCAGTCTCCCTCCTACGTCTCACACAGGTAGTCAAATACCTTTCAATAAGGAGATACTGTTGGAGAGAGAAAGGCGCTGGAAAATGTCTGTGCCTGCACAGTATGTACATAGTGTGCGTCTATGCACCGCAGCGACCACAACTTTTAATACGTATACGTGTCTACGTACAAGTATATATATATATATATATATATATATATATATACATATATATATATATATATATATATAAAGACAGCACATTCTTATGGAGAAGGTGTACCTACTTTGAGAGAAAGCTGAAGATACGTCACTATTGCCTACTAAGAGAGATACAGAAAAGGCCAGTACTGCAGATCGTTCTCCTTCATAAACACACTGGTAACGACCACAGAAATGGCTACCAAAAGACATACACAGATAGCTGCTAGCGCGGACTTTTTCTTCTGCTTACCCACTCGTAACGACCACAGAAACAGCTACGAAAAGAGATACGGGAAAAACTAGTACAACAGGTTTTTTTCTTCTATATACCCACACCATACGGCAGCAGAAACGGCTACTAAAAGAGATACTGCAAAAGCTAGTACCGCACAATTTTTTCTTTTATGTATTCCCTTCTTTTATGTATTCCCACGTTACGACAACAGCAACGACTACTAAAGAGATACAGAAAAGGCGAGTACCGCAGATCTTTTTCTTCTGTACACCCATTCGTTACGACAACAGAAACGACTACTAAGCGAGATACAGAGAAGGCGAGTATCGCAAACCTTTCTTTTCTACATATCCACTCGTTACGACCAAAGAAAGGGCCACTAAACGAGATACAGAAAAGGGTAGCACTGCACAACTTTCTCTTCCATATACTTACTCTTTACGCCCACAGAGACGCATACTAACAGAGATGCAGAAAAGGCGAGTATTGCAAACCTTTCTTTTCTACATATCCACTCGTTACGACCACAGAAAGGACCACTAAACGAGATACAGAAAACGATAGCAGTGCAGTTCTTCCTCTTCTGTATACTTACTCGTTACGCCCACAGAAACGCATACTAAAAGATCTAAGGGAAAAGCTTAGTACTGCAGACCTTTCTGGTCTGCATACCCACTCGTTACACCCACCAGGATTCGTGTTCACCACTGCTCGTACACGTCCTGGAAGGCCTGGTGGGGAAACAGGGCACGAGGCAAAAAGGCAATGCTCCACATGTGTATGTGCCTCCTGCGCAAACTGCAGTTACACATATATCACTTCCGCGTACATACACACATTTATGTATATATATATGTATATATATATATATGGGTATGCATATATATGTCACTTCTGCTTATATGCCTATATGCGTATATATATATATATATATATATGTACATATATTCAGATATGTGTATGTGTATGTGAGTGCACCACATGGCGTGCCAGTAAATGCGTGCGGCGAACAGGCATACGATAATGCGACTGCAGGAGTGGAGCATTTCTTCCTATCAGTTGTATATGTGGCGGTAAATCTCTACTTGATATCAACCAGACGCGACTGTACATTCTATTAACAGCTGCTGCCGTGCGTGAATCACATATGTGATATGTCGCATCAACTGCGTGCTGATGGCAGAAAGAAATCTTCTGTGACAGTGAAGCGGCTTCTGTGCTACCACTAAAACTGGCTGCTGCCAGTGCTGCTACTGCCGCTGGTGGTGCTACTGCTGCTGCTGCTGCTACTGCTGCTGCTGCTGCTACTGCTGCTGCTGCTGTTCCTGACAATGGTGTGGGGCCGAGACAATACCACTTAGGGTAGGTGGTGCTAGCGCTGCCACTCCTGCTGCTGCTGCTGTTCCTGAGAAAGGTGTGGGGCAGAGAGAATGTCATTAAGGGTGGCTAGCTCGCTGCTGCTGCTATCGCTGACAGAGGTGTGGGGCAGGAACAACACCACTGAGGGTGGCTGCTGCGAGCGCCGCTACTGCTGCCGCTGCTGCTGTTCCTGACAGAGGTGTGGGGCAGAGACAATACCACTAAGGGCGGCTGCTGCTAGCGCTGCTACTGTTGCTATTGCTGTTCCTGACAGAGGTGTAGGGCAGAGACGATAACAAGTTGGTGTACCGCTGCTGTGCTGTTGCCTGCAGGAGACGCAAAGGGAGTGGCCGCCCCAGCCCGACGGCGGGCTGGGTGCTGCCGGCAAAATACTGCTGCTGCTGCAGCCGCAGCAGCTGCTGCTGCTGCTGTACCTGATGGAGCTGCTGCAGCTGCTGCAACTGCTGCCTTCTCGTGCCCCACCAGTGCTGCTGCTGCTGTGGCTGGTGTCGTATGAGTGCGTGCTGCTGCCGGACAGCTGCGGCAGTCGAAACTCGGGCGAGCTGCTGCTGCAGCTGCTGCTCACGTAGTGCTTCTCTTTGAGACTCGTGTTTTAGCAGCAGCAGCAGCAGACTATCGTCGATCGCCAATGCAGCCAGCTGCTCCTGCTGCTGTTGCTGCTGCAACTGCAGCAGCTGCTGCTGATGCAAAGTGGCTAATGCTCTTCGCCGACTTCGTTCCTCCTGTGCATGCTGCAGTGCCAGGAACGCCAGCTCGGCCTCTCTACCACGCCGTGCACTTTCACGTATTCGCTGCTGCAGCTGCTGCTGCTGCTGTTGTTGCTCGTGCTGCTGTCGCTGCAATACCCGCTGCAGTTGCTGCTGCTGTTGCTGCTGCTGCTGCTGCTGCAATTGTTCGTGCTGGGTGGGCTGCGCGAAGGCGTGTGCTGCTGCCTCTCTCGCTGGCCTGCCTGCCGGCTGTTCGCTGCTGACACCTCCTCTGCGCAGCTCCAGCGCTGCTTCAGTCTCTCTTGGGGCCCGCCCCACTGCTGCGCAGCTACTACTCTCCAGTAGACGATGTGTAATTGCTGCTGCTGCTGCTTCTGGTGCTGCTGCAGCTTCTGCTGCTGCTGCTGCTGCTTCTGCTGCTGCTGCTGCGTCTGCCGCTGCTGCTGCGTCTGCTGCTGTCGCTGCTGCTGCTGCTGTTTCCGCAGACGTCGTACCTGCACCTGTTAGAGCAGGTGTAGAACTGGCGGTGGTGACAGCAGACACAACAGCAGCAGCATCCGCTGCACTAGCAGCAGCAACCGCGCAAGCGCCTGCTGCTGCAGCAGCGCCTGCACGAGGTGAGCTGCAGCTACCACTTACAGGCCGAGCACTCCCAGCAGCTGCAGCACCAGCAGCAGCACTTGCTGCAATAGCGGAAATGCACCCTCCCCTGGTAGCATGAGGAAGAGAAGCAGCAACGGCAGCAGAGGTTGCCGTATCAGCAGCAACGGAGAGAGAGCCAGAGCCCGTCGCACACGCTTCCTCAGCAGCCGGAGACGCACCACCAGATGCAGAGGCGGTAGTACTGCTATCGCTGGCAGGAGTAATAGCAGCAGCGCCTGCCGTTGCTTCCCCTGCTGTTGCCGCTGCTGCTGCTGGTGCTGCTGCTGCTGCTGGTGCTGCTCGAAGACGTGTGGGAAGACCTCTGCCTTCAAGCGCTGCTGGTGCTGCTGTTGTTGCTGCCGTGTAGTCCGGCAGCGCCCCTGGTGCTCGAGTGGTGGTCTGCAGCGGGTCTCCTGCTGCTGTTGCTCCCCGGCGGAAGCCGCCTATTGTAGGCGTTCCATCGTTTAGAGAAGCAAGAGCGAAAGCTGGAGCAGCAGCATCAGTTTCTCCGAGGTAGGCAGCAGCAGGAGACGGGTAGAGGCCGATGTATTCGGCAGCGCGGGCTGCACCAGCGTGAGCTTTGGCTTTGGCTGCTGCTGCTCTGGCCGCAGCAGCTGCTGCCGCTGCTCGTATACGGGCGTCCCCTGCAGCAGCAGCAGCAGCACGCGCACCGATACCTCCTGCACCTGCTGCCTGCAACGGCGCGCCTCTTCCCGCAGTAGTCAGCAAGCCGCGGCTGCTGCCTCTGCTGCTGCTGTCTCTCCTGCCGCTTCCAGATGGGGTCTCACTATGCAGCAGAAGCGCCTGGAGCCCGAGGGGATGGACCACCTGCTGCACAGGAACCAGTGGAGTGGGAGCTGTCGCGGCAGCAGACTCCGCTAATGAAGGCACCTGCAACTGATAATTCTGACGGAGATGCAGATAAGAAGGAGAACCAGCACCAGCAGCAGCCGCAGGTATACTCCCAAGATACGCTGCAGCAGAAGGAAAGAGGCTGGCGTATTCAGCAGCACGAGCTGCAGCAGCCTGCGCCTCCGCTTTGGCTGCTGCTGCTGCTGCCGCTGCAGCTCTAGCGGCTGCTGCTGCTGCTGCCCGTGCGTCTGTCGTGTCACTGACTTCCGAAGGCAAGTAGAGATGTACGGGAGGAGGGGCAGCGGCAGCTGGCGCTCCCGCAGCAGCAGTAGCCGCAGGAGGGTAGGGGCGTCTAGCAGTACCAGGGGTGCTGTAAGGTGCACGACTCTGATAGTATGCAACAGCAGGCGTGAGACTCGGCGATGGTGGAGGAGGGGGAAGAGGAAGACGTGCTGGTGTTGCTGCTGCTGCGGCAACAGCAGCAGCCCAGGGGGTCATAATAGTAATTGTTTCTGCAGGTACGGACGCGTCTACTGCTGCTGCTGCAGGAATGGCACTCACTACCTGTGATGGTGGTCCCTCTGCTGTGGCTGCTGTACGTCTGGGGCCTCCTACTGCTGCTGCTTCTTCGCGAGAGGCTGCTGCTGTCTCTTTTTCTGCTATTGCTGCAAAAGTAGACGCTGGCGGTAGGGGCAGTGTATCTTCCTCTGTGGACCCCGACGCTGCTGCTGCTGCTGCTGCCGCTGCTGCTGCTGCGACAGCTGCTGGAACTGCTGCTTTCCCTTCTCCGCCTTCATCTGCAAAATCTGCTGCTGCTGCCGCTGCTATCTCAGCAACCGGCGTGCTGCCTGTTGTCGCTGCCGCAGCCACTTCTTCCTCTGCACCACAACAACGCGCGCCTGCTGCGCCTGCTGCCCCTGCTGCTGCTCCTGCTGCTGCTGCTGCTGCTCGTGCTGCTGCTGCTGTGGACGATGTTGTCTCTGCTGCAGCTTGGTAGGGAGGCAGAGATGTAGTGGGTGCTGCGGTCCTTGTTGAAGTCGCAGCTGCTGTTGTTTCTGCAGTAGCCGCAAGAGGAGGAAGCATCAGAGTTGCTGCTGTTGCTGCAGATGGGGGGCGCCTCTCACGAGAAGCAGCCGCTGGCCACAAAGCCCGTGCATGTAGAATTGACTGGAAGTCTGCTGCAGGTAGAGTAGTCAACAGAGGAGGCAACACCTCTGCAGCATCAGGCGTAATACCTGCTAGGTGCTCTTGTAGCGTATTGAGACCGGCTGCTGTGATAGCAGTAGTCGTAGCAGTCGGTAACATCATGCCAGCAGCAGCAGCAGCAGGGACAGAAGCACGTGTATTCAAGGTCCCCCCGGTAGCAGCAGGAGCACCAGCCAATAAGGCACTAGCTGCCACAGACGAGTCAAGGTCCTCAGACACGTCAGCCGCAGCAGAGACCGCATTCACAGCCTCATCTACCTCTATAGCAGCCAATGACTCCTCTATGGCAGCTTCTGCTGCAGCAGCAGCTTCTGCAGCAGCAGCAGCTTCCGCCGCAGCAGCTTCTGCAGCAACCGCAGCAGCTCCTGCAGCAGCAGCTACATCTTCCAGTGCAGAGGCTTCGGCAGCAGCAGCGGAAGCAGCAGCAGCAGCAGCAACTTCCAGAGCTACTACGCGTGACTTCTGAGCTGCTTCAACAGCACCGATCCTCGCAGCAGCAGGTGCCGCCAGCAGTTGCAGAGCGGCCAAGGCGGATGAGGTGGACCCCGCATCACCTTCTCCGGCAGCAGTACACGCCTCTGCCACTCCAGCGTAAGCAGCAGCAAGGGACAACATCCCCTCAGCAGTCACAGCAGCAAGCGCCAGTCCCAGCAGCAGCGCCAGTCACAGCAGCAGCACCAGGAACAGCAGCACCAGTCGCAGCAGCAGCATCAATAGCCTCTTTTTCGTGTGTCTCGTCTCCTGTATTTTCGTGTCCCGACGCAGCTGCTGCTGCGAGTAAGGAGAGTCCCGTCTCCGCTCCAATTTCGTATCCTGCTTGCCCTAGGGCCGTATTAGAAATCTGTGCACTTTCGTCGTAAGCCCCACTGGTGGCCGCAGCAGCAGCTCCTCCATTTTCTGCTGCTCCTGCTGCTGCTGCTGCTCCTGCTGCTGCTGCTGCTGAGGCGCTACTGCCTGGTCTGACTGCTGCTGCAGCGGCAAAGTCGGTGGCCCTACCATTTAGGATATCCACAGAGACGGTTCGTGTTAGTAGCTGCTGCTGCTGCTGGCCTTTCACCAAGGAGCTCTGCTGCTGCTGTTGAGTGTTTGTAATGTGGCTCTGGCCTTTCCCTAAGTAGTAATGCGTCAATCCCCACTCGCTCTTCTACGTGCTGCTGTTGGTTATGCTGCTGCTGGTCATGCTGCTGCTGCTGGTGTACATTCTGTTGCTGCTGCTGCTGCTGAGGGTGATGATCCTGCAGCTCTGTCTCCTCCTCCTCGGGCTGCTGCTGCTGCTGTGCGTTCAGTTGTGAAGGCGCATGCCGCTGCTGGCTGTTTCTCCACTGTGTAGTTTGAATACGCTCGACGGTCTCTCTCACCTGCTGCTGATCCTGCAACATGTGCAGCTCCTGCTGCTGCTGTTGCTGCTGCCGCAGCTCTTGCTTCTGCTGCTGCTGTTGCTGCTGCTGCTGCTGTTGCTGTTGCTGCTGCTGCTGCTGCTCTGGAGCCCGTTCGTCCCAAGTAAGCTGCTGGTCCTGTTGCTGCTGCTTCCATCTTAGGCCCGCCGGTGCCCCGGCGTGTCTCGTTCCGGTACATCGAGGTGTAGTCATAGTTCTTTGCTGCTTTGCAGCGCTAATCTTTGCTGCAGCAAAACCAAAGCAATGATGCTTCAAGAGGGTAAGGTCGCTTCCGCCAGTAAGAGCAGAAGAAGCTTCAGCAGAAGCAGACCCAGCAGAAGCAGATCCAGCAGAAGCAGGTCCAGCAGCAGCAGCGGGCGCAGGAGCAGGAGCAGGAGGAAGATGATTATCAGCAGCAAAAGCAGAGTTCACAGGTAGAAGGGCCGCCCCTTCTTTACAGGTAGAGGAAGAGAGACGTCTGCTGCAACAGCCAGGAAGACTATCACGGCCTGCTGCTGCTGTCTGTTCTTGTCTCTGTCGTGCTGCGTGTGTTTCGTAGGCCCTTCCTTCTTCTTCTTCTTCTGCTTCTTCTTCTTCTACTTTTTCTTCTTCTGCTTCACCAGCAGCTGCTGTCTCTTTTCCAAATACTCCACCGGCTAGACACTGTACAGCTGCAGGTGAAGCAGCAGCAGCAGCAGAAGCAACAGAAGTAGCAGCCGCGGCTGCAGCACCAGCAGCAACAGCAGCTGCAGCAGCGGTTTGCGGGTCTTCTGCT